GGTGGGGGTGGTGGTGGGGGTGGTGGGGGTGGGGGGGGTGGGGGCGGGGGTGGTGGTGGCGGTGGTGGTGGTGGTGGTGGCGGTGGTGGTGGCGGTGGCGGTTGTGTTGGTGGTGGCGGTGGTGGGGGTGGTGTGTCGAGACGTTGTATATGTTGTGTTGCAAATCATCCACTCATGGCAATGAGTGTCTACTCATCCAGCCAAGTCTCCCACTTGATCCCAGAACAGCACAACCAATAGTAATAGTCTCCAATTTAACAAACACTTTACGGTTCTATACAATATATAAGTTGAATATGCCTCTTGAACATGACAATCAGTGTACTTCACTGTACAGCTTGTAAACGTTCAACTTCACAATCTATCTAGTTGAAATCCTCACACATAGAAACATCCCACAAGAAGCTATGTCTTGAACAGTACACAGTGACCATCTCTGTTCGCCAAAAACCTCGACCAAAAACTAACGCGTCATATCCCCTTACACAATTACGTCACAACACTCTCACAACCACGATACAGCTACACATAAAATCTCTAACTAAACATCTTTTCCCTATCAAACATGAAAACAATGATCTACACATAACAACAGTGATTCTCATGCCTTGACAGTGGTGGCGGTGGTAGTGGTAGTGGTGGTGGTGGTGGTGGTGGCGGTGGTGGTGGTGGCGGTGGTGGCGATGGATGGTTCCAGATGTGTAAGCCCCAGCTTCCACCAGCGTGTGGCTGTCGGCAGGGACGTCCAGGGCGGATCCACACAGGCAAGAAAGTTGCCCGTTTGGGCGCGGTAGATTTTCATGAGTGGGTAATACACCTGACGGATCTCATCGAAGGGAATGTCTCCAACGATATCCAATGAAGGAACGCAATTCCCAATCAAATGAGACAGCACGCGTTGTGTCCAGAGGTCGAATTGAGACAACACGGCCCGTGTTCTGAGGTTACAACAAGGTTTGTCATGTCTCACACCGGAAAATGTCAAATGTTACCATTTTTAGAACGTCTGACGTCCTTAAAACATGGCAGCTAATTGGGTGTTTCAGCATATGGCTCGTGCGATCCTTCAATCTAGATTCACTGTTTAACGTGCCTTACCCGCAATGAAGTCTTATTTCACAAAATAGCAATTTTTAACAAATAAATTGGGTAAAATATTTCGTCAAATATAGTTGTAAACAAATTGCGATTTAGGGGCCTCGTCGCTAACTTAGTTGTACTGAATAGTGTACACATTTTGTCCAACCCGAGTTCCCCGAAATATTCCCGCCATTAAATGACAAGACCGATAAAGCACCAGGTGTGTCCTGGGCTTCAAATGAGAAGACACAAGCTGTGTCCTGACCTGGAAATAAGACACCAGCTAGTCGTGCCAGTGTCTTTTCCCTTTCTTATTTGAATTAAGCGTCTAGATTCTATACGTTTGTTTCAAGCTGCGACGCTGTGTTAGGTAACGCTAAATAGTTTTGAGAATTAAATCTCTCTTAAGATTCGGCTCGTAGAATAAACAATACGTACCAAAGACTGAAAACTAGCATCCAGAGAATAACGAGATCAAAGTCAGTAATACTAAACGTATTAATTCTAACTGTACTATAAGATTTCTATATAATTATATTATTAAATATATTATTTTTAACATGCACATGATTATAGAGTACAGATTCTTGCATTGATATAACGTCTTGTGTATTTCTAGAAATATCAGTAAAATTCTGTCTTCGCTAGGAAAGCTGCAGTCCATTACATACGGGTTCAATCCGAACACAAAGTAACTGGAAGTGGCCAAATCCAACCGACGTAATAACCCAAGTAACTGGAAGTGACTAAACCCAACAGACGTAGCAACCCAAGTAACTGGAAGTGGCCAAACCCAACAGACGTAGCAACCCAAGTAACTGAAAGTGGCCAAACCCAACAGACGTAGCAACCCAAGTAACTGCAAGTGGCCAAACCCAACAGATGTAGCAACCCAAGTAACTGGAAGTGACTAAACCCAACAGATGTAGCAACCCAAGTAATTGAAAGTGGCCAAACCCAACAGATGTAGCAACCCAAGTAACTGGAAGTGACTAAACCCAACAGATGTAATAACCCAAGTAACTGGAAGTGACTAAACCCAACAGACGTAGCAACCCAAGTAACTGGAAGTGGCCAAACCCAACAGATGTAGCAACCCAAGTAACTGGAAGTGACTAAACCCAACAGATGTAGCAACCCAAGTAATTGAAAGTGGCCAAACCCAACAGATGTAGCAACCCAAGTAACTGGAAGTGACTAAACCCAACAGATATAGCAACCCAAGTAACTGGAAGTGGCCAAACCCAACATATGTAGCAACCCAAGTAACTGGAAGTGGCCAAACCCAACAGATGTAGCAACCCAAGTAACTGGAAGTGACTAAACCCAACAGATGTAGCAACCCAAGTAATTGGAAGTGGCCAAACCCAACAGATGTAGCAACCCAAGTAACTGG